CGTGGCAGGGGCAGGGCCTCATAAAATGGGTGGGGCAGAGGGCGGGGCAAGAGTGTTCAGTTTTGTGCAAGTAGAAAGTTGGCAAACCTACTTCCTGCTTGTTTTCTCAATGGAATATTAACCCAATATAGTCATACAGTAAACATCCCAATAACAAGGTCAACATAAAATATTCGTAAAATTACAGATCAGCTTCACATCTGTCACACATGGCATTCTGTAAATACCAGTGGAAGGCTCTTTTGGATATAGATATGGATACAATAGGTCTGGTTCACTAATTGGTTACTCCAATTTTATGCTGGCATGATTCCACTGAATTGGATTAATACAGTGGTGAATCAAGTTCCAATTTGCATTTCTACATGTAAATGGATGTTTTCATAAATATAGATTTATACCTATGCATAGATGCCTATATCAAAATAGATATTCAATCAAATAACTTTCTTATATTTATAATGAGAAATATATTATAGAAACCAGGATTATTTAAAGATATTTTAGAAAACAGGGGAAACAGACACTTAAGATTACCTGCTTCCAGCATTTCTTATTTTTATATATATTGTGCACAAAGTTTGTATTAAATGTATATGTACCATATGCAAATGACCTGCCCTGGAAGAAATATTTTGGATATGGGTGTCTTCAGATTTTTTGAAGGACTTTGTCTTGCTTTCATAAACCCTGATCCTGCAGTGGCACTGTCATGCATGTGAGTATTTAACAGGACTATGCACATGCATATTATGGAATCAGGGCCATAGTTATAAACCACCAGGGTGACTAAAGGAGAAATGAGGAGTGGCAGAGACCATACAATTAACCATTGTGCAACCAAACACAAGTCCTGCTGTCATGATATTGTGGGAGGGAGTACAGTGAAGCTGTGCACACATAACTTCTTATAAAATAAAACACAATCCTTCAATATGCAAAAGGTTTTTGAATCCCCCATTTGTAAGCAGGCATTCTAAAAGCCCAATCCTGTGTGCAACAGAACCAGATAGATTAAAACTTTTACCAAATGCTTAAATTTAAATGTTACAAAAAGACTAGTTTTCATTTGAACATTTAGAAGAGACTACAGCATATGTTATATACTTTTAAAAGCTTATACTTCACAGATGTTTCTTCTGATTGCTGTTGCTTTAGCCAGAGATACCATCTAGATATCTTGGCAATCGAGGGAAAAGACTTATTGTATTGCACAAGAATTTAAACAAAATTTATATAGCTGCTGACTAATATAATATACATTTATTGCTGTGAGGGGATGTTAAATTGTTTTCTAATTTCCTTTTCCTTGGCAAGGTGAGGTCATTCCTCCCATTCTCAGCACTCCCACAAAGGGTCCTAATCCTTTGACTTCCCCTGGTTGAGAGTAGGCCTCATATTGACCACGACTAGACAGGTCATGGTCAGGTTACTGAATAACCTGTCACTATCAGTGCATTGCTAGACTAGAAAAGTCATTACTACAGCAATATAACCTTTCTTGGAAGCTCTGAACATGCCACTTCCACAGTTGTTTAGCTGCTATCAATCTAGACACAGGGAGTCTGACTCTTTGACCCAAGTGGTGTTGTCTAGTTCTATTATCTATGATTCCAGGTTATGAGAGGCCAGATACAGCAGGACTTGAAAAATTTCACTCACCTACTTGTCAGTGGTGAGTAGCAAGTTTCCCATGGCCAGGGGTCCTAAGTAATTGCTCAAAAATGTAAGTATCCATTTAAAAGCATAGTGTCTAATCCTTGAGTGTAAAAATAACCTTCCAACTGTGAACTTAAGCAGTAGTGTCTACCTGAGCCTGCAAACAGGCATTTCCATTGTTTCTGCTTGCTGCATATAGAATTCCCAGGCAGCAGCAGAATGAAATTAAGAAACCGCTGGTCAGTGTCCCTCTGCTGTTGAGAACTCTAGAGACATTAGTGAAAAAGACAAGAATCATGTCAACTTTGCTAGGCTGCTTCTTGGGAAAGCTCTGAGTAGCAGCAGAGAGGCATGTGGAGCAAGTGGGAATAGTGGAGAAGAGCTCAAAAATGTGTCACGGTGGGAGGGACAGAGTTACTGATGCTCCCCTGAAAGAGTCAGGAGCCTGTGAGAAGCATTCAGAGAGGGTTGTGGAGCCTCAAATTTATCAGAAGGTGATACAAAAGCTGGAGGTCCATATCTGGGTGCCTATCTCCCACTGAGGATCTGGGCTGGAGCTTCTAAGCAATGTTCTGGGATAGCACCCTCACCTGCATTTCTCCCTAGCATGTTGCTCCTGGACCTCACTGGTGTCTCAGTTGTCCCGTCTGTAAAATGGGGGTAATACTTTTTGCTTTACAGGGTTGTTGTGGGGATTGATTAATATCTGTAAAACACTTTGAGATCTTCTGAAATGCAGTATAATAATAAAGGAAGTCAATGCCCCCCCCCCCTTTCTCTCTCAGTGCAAAGCTCTCCTTCCTAAGCCATTTAACTGAGGGCTGTCTTACACATAAAGACAGAACAGGTGGTTGCCCAGGACAACAAATTGTTTAGCGATTTTTTAGAGGTTTACGATTTGGGTTTGGATATTTTCCTGTTTACTTAGTACAGGGGGAAAAGAGCTAGAAATGATGGAGATTGGACTTGCATCCTATTATTTTTCAAGGGTTTCAGACCTTCATCTCAATTTAATTATCTGGCACTCACTTTATCATTACCGGAGAGGTTAGAAAAAACTAATGCTGCAGCAGGTTAGAGGAAAAGCTCGTTCGATTTCACATCTTTCAATTGTTAATAATTATTTGGGTTATGATTATGTTAAAAACCTCATCAAGTTTACAACAAAAGGATTTATTCCGTGTAACTACACTTCATACTCAAGTCAGTAAACAATATACCATATTAATATAGAAAATGAATGTAAATGCATAGCGACTGAGATCAGGGTGATTACTAACATATGCAAACTCATTTATCTTTATTGTTACCTTGAACTTCTTCCCGGTTTTGTTTGTTCACCTCGTTATTGTCAAATCCTAGGCTGTGAGCTCTCCGGGACAGATATAGTCTTTATTTTACTTGTCTACACAGACAGTATCTGTGACACAATGGGGTCCTAATCCCTGATTGTGTTCCTCGGGCGCTAACCCCAAAGAAATAGTAAATGGTCACCATCTCGTTTCTGATCTTGGGCTAGCAGATGCTCAGCCAGTGTATTGTGCACAGCTACATCAATGCAGCTACACCGATTTAGACGGGCTGAGGAGCTGGCTTCTTGATCACAAATTATTCCTCTAATTACTTCCTAACTATATACATCTATCTCTCGGTCTCCTGGAGGTGGTGGGAGAGAGGAGCAATGCATTAATGGCAGTTCAGAGGAAGGCTGGAGGGTGCGATTATAAAAGCGATTTACTTGCGTAAACGTAACGAATAAAGAGAGAGAATTGAAGCTCCCACAGCGTGGAAAAATGTGTAAAGGGGAGGTGAAAAACAAGCTCTGGAAGGGAAGGTGATGATAGGTGTCTCTGTGTGCGAGGTTATCCCTTACGCTGGTGGTGACAGCCGTATCCTCTGTAATGAAAAGCACTGGCGAAATGCCATGCTCGCACACAACCTCATTTGCAGAAGCGGCTGGCGCTGGGTGATGTTATCTGAACTGTGATTTCCATACTTGGTTCCAGCGCCTCCCTCCAGGCGACTCGCCCGCTCGAACCTCGCAGGGGGACTTTAGAACCGGCTCTTTCTCTTTCTCAGTGTAAACGCGGCCAAGCCGCAGAGAGGACGGGGCAGTAGCTGGCAGGACAAACTTTTCCCTGGGCTGAGCCCCGCCCTGTCCTGCCCTGTCGGGGGTGGGTGGTGTTTGCTCCCCTCCCCCTTGCCCCTTTAAGGGCCTGGATAAACTTTTTCCTGCTGGCTCCGGGCGGCCCCGTCACATCCGTTGGCCGGAGCCGGGTGGGGAAGTTTCTTGGCGCTTGTTCCCAGCATAAACTCTCGGGTCCCGCTGCTGCGCGCGGAGCGTCCCCCGGGCTCTGGCGGGAGCAGCCGTGGGGCGCGTGAGAGGAGGAGCCGGGCTTGGGGGTGCGAGATGAAGCCAGGGCGTGGGGAAGCCGGAGCCGCCCTTCGCCTCCTTCCCGGCTGCGCCAGCCCCGCGGCCAGGCGGCTGCTCCCTCCTGCCTGAGCCCCCGAGTGTCCCGCTGCCGCCGCGATGGGGACGCTGCCCGCGGCTCCCTGCCTCCTGCTGCTCCTGGCTGGCGCTGCCGGGCTGTGCCGGGCTCGCTTCTCCTTCCCCCTGCGGGTGTCTCCGCCGGCCGCCCCGGGGAACGGCTCCGCGAGCAGCCTCCGGCAGGCTCCCCCCGGCGAGGTGGACGGCTTGGCCTTAGCCTCGGAGCCCGGGGCCGCCGTCAGCTTCTTGGCCATGGTGGAGAACCTGCAGGGGGACTCCGGCCGGGGCTACTACCTGGAGATGCTGATCGGGACCCCGCCGCAGAAGGTGAGACTCCCGGGGGCCAGGGCAAGGGACTTGCCTTCCAACTGGGCTAGAAGCCAGCCTGCTACCCCCGAACCTACCGGCGGCCCTGCGTGCACGGCGCTGCTGCTGCCCTGCCAGCCGCCCTGGGCACCACGGACACGTCAACGAGGAAAGGTTCTTGGGTGGATGGGGGAGCGTTCCTGCATATTCGGGGGGGCCGGGGTGGTCGGGGATCGTTAAACGCCTTTAAACTTTCTTCCCATGGTGGCCAACTACTCACGGTGAGGAGTTCCCCTGATTTTTCCTCCTCTCCAGTGCAACGTTCTCCTCCAGCTCCTCTGGGAGTGGTGACAGGGCTAAGCTGAGCTGCCACTGGTGCAGGGGACAGTGCGCCTTCCATTAATAGGGGCCTTTTTCCTTAATAAAGTCACTGGTGCCACCATTCACAGGTGAGATCCCTTGCCGAAGGGGTTGTGCATGAGCTCCGTTTAAAAGCACTATTAAAAAGGACACACACGCACTATTGATAGGACCCAAGAGACCCTTCTCATGTAGTTTGGAAGACTAGAGAGGTACCTTTGATTGTTTATGGAGAGGAGGAAAAGTCACTCCTGGCTTCGTCGGCTTTTTCTTTTTTTTATAACATTGGAAGACCTTAAATATCATAAGCATGTTGGTAAGTTAGACGTGACTGTTACACATGTGAGCGATGACGGCAAGTGTTAAAGGACTGGATTGACTCTCCGTCTCGTCCCCCGTCGCCCTCCCCCGATGCCTTTTAATTGCCAGACAGTATTGTTAGGTGACGAAAAACAAAGAGAAACGAAAAGATATTGTATTGCACCCGTGCTAAGTACAGTTATACCGCTTGCAACTTTTCTGAAAGGCAGCATTTCCATTCATTGGCACTTTGCATGAAAAACGAATGTCCCCAGGCACAGTAATTTTAAGGAAATCCTGCAGTCCCGGTCTCTTTGTTTCAAACTGTTTGATGTCAATTTGATTTGAAACAAGTTTCTCTGTCAGTCAAAAATACTGTATTTACCATACCTCATCTTATTTTTGAAGTCAGCCTTGAGGTGTGATGGAGTAGGCTGACTGCCAGACGCTCCTGATCCCCCCCCCCCCAGAGATTACTTAACCACTCTTACTAAATTAAGTGCGACAGTAATGCAAAGTTTTAAAACATCTTAATTTTTATTTAAAATGTAGCCTCTATATTTCTAATAGTTAAAGAATGCACTTCCTGTGGTTAGAATTTGTAAAGGGAGGGGGCAAGGAGGAGGAATAATTCTTTCTTTCAAAAGTTTTGAAAACTTGGTTGTTCTTTCATCTGTGTCATGTGAAGCCTTGGTGGACTGTTGGTGGGGATGACTTGTCAGCTGAGAAGGATTAATTTTCTAAAAGTCCTTGGGGCTTTGTGTCATATTTTTTCCCCTCAAGTTTAGTACTCCCACTCTTTTAATGAGATTTAAGTGAATGAAGGGACCCTATGTAGGTGAAAATGCTTGATTTTTTTTTTTTAATTTTTTTATTATTCTGACTTCTTACCATAATGAAAAGTTAGTCATATAGATACTTTGAAAACACTGAAACATGATCCCATTGATGTTTATAAGTAAAGTCATGCATGTGCTTAATAGTTGGCAGGATCAAGACTTGTACAGTTAAAACTTTTAAGTGAGGTGCTTTACAAACTTCCTTCTCTGCTTGACTCTGAAATCACAAACATATATCTGATGCAAGTGTACTTCAGAGTGAATAGTATATACTGCTAAGCAACTAAAGGGTAGTAGCTCTCTTCCTCTTTCAGCCTCTATGAAAGATGATGACTTATAGCACAGTATCCTAGAATACCAGAACTCCAATTTAGCTGCCAATCCACCCTCATTCTATTATTACCAATAGATTCAAGTGCACTTACATTCTCTGAGAATTATTTGAAAGCTAAAATGTCATGGTGTTTTGAGGAATGTTACTATATATGTTTTTTATTTCATGGAGTTGTCCTATTTCTGATGAATGGTGTACTTTATGGCTGCCTGCTATTTCAATCTTCAGATTTGGAATATGAGTTGGGGAGAAGGCATTGACTGCACTAGTCTAACTTTTTATTTCTTTAAATAATCTGGAAACAGATTAAATGCCTTTACTCAATATTGTATTATTTTTCCAGCCTCGAAATGGAAGCTATAAGCACTTTTGATAAGTGGAATGAAGTCTAGTTTTATTTGTGTTTTCCATGTATTTTTACTAAAGCGTTGTCTACTTTGCTTCTTCCTACAGTTTTTGACAAACAAGAGACAGAAGTCTAACTTTTTTTTTAAATATACCACATTTTCCCCAGATTCCTCTAGTGCAGTGTTTCCCAAACTTGGGATGCCACTTGTTTAGGGAAAGCCCCTGGTGGGCCGGGCCGGTTTGTTTACCTGCTGTGTCCGCAGGTCCGGCCGATCGTGGCTCCCAGTGGCTGCGGTTCGCTGCTCCAGGCCAATGGAAGCTGCTGGAAGCGGCGCGGGCCGAGGGACGTGCTGGTCGCCACTTCCAGCAGCTCCCATTGGCCTGGAGCGGCGAATCGCGGCCAGTGGGAGCCGCGATCGGCCAGACCTACGGACGCATCAGGTAAACAAACAGCCCGGCCCGCCGGGGCTTTCCCTAAACAAGCAGCGTCCCAAGTTTGGGAAACACTGCTCTAGTGCGTCTATCTTGAGCGTTCCTAACATTTGCAGAGTAACACTTTCCTCCGATTACACTCATCTTGCTATCCTCTCATCCCATTGTGTTCCCGAATTGTGCCTATATTGAGACTACACAAATATTCCCCTTGTAACTTTAATGCAAAAGGGTGGGTGGAGGAACTATATAGCTCTGAGTAGTCTGCATGATGCAGTTGAGTTTTGATCAGTTGCCATTGAAACCATGGTGGAACTTGAATTTTATTCTAGTGACCAAGCATCTGTTTCACGCAATCAGTTCAGTTTAATTATTAATGCTAAGCATGAAAGCAGCTTTTGTAATGGCAGTTTGTTCTGCTCAGAGGGGCAGCAAAAATCTGACCTATAAACTGGCATTTAGAAAGTTTTATTAAGGATAAAGTGGTTATTGGGACTAACTGTCTTTATTGCAAACTATGAATTCCAATTCCCATAAAATTAACTGGAGACAATCCCTCTATCACTGTCCAACTACAAAAAAAACCCAGAGGAATATGTATTAAATACCTTAACTATGTGTTGGGCACTTACAATATGTGGCTTGATGTTTCAAAGGTTATAAATTCTGGCAGTTCTGGATTCAGTTCAGGGTGTGGTGATGGGAGAGTAATTGCTGCCAGTGAGGAGTGACAAGAGGGGCTGAAGGCTCTTGTGATAGGATAGGACAGAAAAAGGGAGGCCAATTGGGTAAAAGCCAATTGAACTAGGGCAGGATAGCAGATTATTACAGGCTAAATCAGTGAGCAGTGGTGGTAGGGAAGGGAAATAAGGGATAGAACTAGGCTTTGAATGAGTGGGTGAGAACTGGAAGGAAAACCTAGGATGGAATCAGCAGAATAAGGAATGTTTTTTTAAAAACCATACACACATAGGAACATGGACTTTGGGGACAGGTGATGCTATGTGGACCTGCTATAGACTATCTTTGACATAAAACCTTAAATAGTCATGTGCCTGACAAGATGTGTGCCAAGATAGATTAAAAAGTGCTATGTGTTGATGCAACATATAGTAAGTATTTTTCTGGAAAGCATCTTCTACTCTGTGGGCTTGTCTAGACATGTTGGCCAATACATTTTAATTAACATGATTTTAAACAAGACTTTGGACATACTATGGATAAAGCAAGTCTGTGACACCCTGCACCCCATGTTCACCACTTTTATATGGTTATGATATATTTTGTACAAAGTATGCCTTGTGAGGTATTGTTTGAAAACACATCATCTGCTGAACATCATTGTCCTGTTATGATGTGTGTAATAACACGGCATGTGAAATTATGAGATTTTACTGCATAATATTACTAAAATGTGTTATGGTTCTGGGAAATGCCCAGAATTACTCTTCAAAAACAACACAAAAGACTGAGCACAGGTGCTGAGAAACTATTAACTGTTTAATTGGGCATTCACCAGCAGGAGGGAAGGTATAAATAGAGTATTTACAATTTTCCTGAAGGACCGTTTGCAGAGCACATACGCATTGGAAGTGCCTACCCCCATGACCCAGCAAGGATTTTTCCAGTACAAAGAGTTGGGGCATAAGAAAGGGGGGGCGGTAGGGGAAGGGCCCTGTCCACCTCTCCTCTCCACCACTTTTCTCTCTGCTTATGACCTCAACGCATATCTAAGGACACTGAATCACAGGGAGAGAGGTCCCAGGCTGAAAGGAAATCCAGCCTGTGAACTGACAACTGTGAATTGCCTGCAGCATCTGGTGGGTGAGAGATCTGTTTGCTTCAAATCTTACTTAGCTTGATAAAGTTTAGAACTGCAATCTAATTCCTATCTTTTTTCTTTTGTAACCAATCTGACTTTTATGCCTTATCACTTATAGTCACTTAAAATCTGTTTCTGTAGTTAATAAACTTGTTCTATTGTTTTATCTAAACCAGTGTGTTTTGGTTGAAGTGTTTGGGGAATCTCTACTCAGGTTAACAAAGGCTGGTGCATAATCATTTCCTTTGATGGAATGATGGACTATTAATGAGCTTGCACTGGCCAGGACTCTACTGAAGAGTGCAAGACGCGCATTTCTGAGGGGCCAGACTGGGGGCTGGAGTGGGTGTCACCCTGTATATAATTCGTGGGTGGCTGGGCATAGCATTCATGTATCCACCAGAGAGTGATTTTTACATGATGGTGGCTGAGTGAGCAGAGCCTGTAGGGGTTGCTGTTCACCACCAAAGCAGTGTAAAAGGCATCTCAGGCTGTAGGATTAAGGGGACACAACAGTCCTGTGGTCCAGATTGCATCCTGGGGAATGTCAGTCACTCACCTTTAAAAATGTGTTAGCTGGTCATGG